ATCTCTCAGATACCGTCGTTAACATCGGCGATCGAAGGAAGGATGCAACAAATTTTAAAATTCGTCCGGACATTGTCGAAGCAAAACACGTTCGTTCGAGCCCGCGGTCAAGTCATTGAGAAAACTCATGGAAAGGACGTCACGTAGCGGATCGTAATAGATCGAACGAGCAGATTACAAAGATATTAATCGGAACGGCACGAGTGACGAACAGCCTACGCAGTCGCATCGGTGATCTAAGAGGCGTTCTGCATCGCTAAGTGTCTCATAGACGAGAATCGATCGTACTTCATCAGATCGTCACACCTAGGCCGCGGTCCGATTCATACTCACAATACTTAATAAATCATTTTATCTTTATTGTTGTTTATTAAATGTTAAATAAGAAGAAATTATGGTCATGAGCGTTGTAAATATAAATCGGATCGCGGTTCTAGATTCTTGTAGAGAAGACTAGTACTTAGAGACATATTGTACATTAAAGAATACTAATTATTTTATATTGTTTATTTCAGTTAAAAAATTATGTAACTGAGCAGCCAATATTAATTAAAAGTCTCATTATTGTTAAGAAATAATTAATGCACTAGGAAAAGAATCTGATTGTATTAATGGAAATTCTGACTAAAAATGGACAAATCAAGATTTTCTAGTTGAATCTAATGTAATTCTAGTTGAGATGTTAGAATTCTGATTGATATAATCAAAATCTTTCAGTTCGTTATTTTTCAATCATAAATTTTGCTCAATGTATGTCCTGAGGTGCAAAATATTTTTAGGTACTATATTGAAGAAAAATTTTAAATCTTAAGGCTCCTGAGTAATCATCACGGCTATATTGAATCTTGACGTCAGAAGCGAGAAATAACACGTTAATTTTTATTACATGTCATTTATATAAATAAAGACAATTTGAATAAAACAAAATGATGAGATTTCTTTAAAATATTTCTAAAAATGGACGAAAAAAAAACTGTGCTTATCCCCTCTGACAGTCAATAAATAATCGTAAAAAGTGATAAAAGGTACGTGTAAGTGAAAATAAGCTATGAATAAAAACATTTCATGTACCTTTCATCATTTTGTACGATTATTTACTGATTGTCAGAAGGCATTAGGATAAGCATAGTTTTCGTCCATTTTTACAAATGTTTTAAACCAATCTCATCATTTTATTTTATCCCGAGTTTTATCCAAATTTTTTTCATTTATAAGTGGCACGTAAAAAAAATTAACGTGTCATTTCTCACTTCTGACGTCACGATTCAATATGGCTGTGGTGACTACTCAGTAGTCTTAATATTATATATATTAGGTGTTGGAATTAATTCGTAGCGTTTTTAATGAAAGAATGTTATTTATTTCACATGAGCATTAAAAAATACATTAATGAAAGTACTTCCCATCACTTGTAAAACGCTACGAATTAATTCCAACACCTAATATTTTTTTAATAATACTGACTAAACAGTTATTTATAATATAATAAATAAACACTGACTCAATAAAAAATAAATAAATCGTCAAGTATACGGTTCTTGTGCCAAAAATGTAATAAATATATGTTTATAATTAATAAATATTAAATAGTTAGTACTATTTAAATAAATATTTATTAAAATTTAATATTTTTTCCAGTCTCCTAAACGTCTAGTTGACTTGGCGAAAAAACGTGAGAAGAAAAAGAAGAATCCATGATTTTCATCTGTACGAGCATGAATGAATAAACGAGAACAAGATTCAAATTCGTCTCGATCCAATTATGTGGCTCACTCGCGTTCCGTTTCTGCAAAGTGTATACAAGAGAGACGCGTCCATTTAATTTTAGATCTCAAGTTAAAAACTCGCGATATCGGGTGACCGCACGCGACGGAAATCGATCGCGCTGAACGATCGCGCTGAACGATCGCGAGAGGTGGGCATACAAAACAAACGCGGGTCCCATGTTCTATTCCGGGAATTGATGGCAATCGGGCGCTTTAATCCCTGTGAACGGTGAAATTAACCAGCGCGCGAACGCGAGCGCTCATAAAGCTCGCACCAAGCTGGCCTAAATATAAGCGCCCACGAGAGAAAAGCTCTCGTAAGGTCTCGCAAGTAATCCGGACTTCCTGTGCCGCTTTCCTCGCGTTAACGTTTTCTCTCCTTGTTGCAAACACGACGCGCCGTTTCATCATTTGTTAAGTAACATTTTTTTATCTGTATAAGAATGAATTACTGCAGCGGAAGTAGACTGAATAAAATATGCTGGCTGAGTTTTTAATCAGAGAATATAATCTAAAACCTGGACATATATTATATATGGTTACCCTTTTAAGAGTACATGTATTTGTTTAAGTCGTAAAACTTCTGGTCATTAATTAAAATTTTATATTTTATAAAATTAAATTAAAATTTTATAAAATTATCTATTAAATTATCTATCAATAAAAATATAAATTGTACTCCAGAAATGTTTATTAAATACCTACATTGCATATAATGTATAAAAGAAATGTATTTCTTCCTCTATTCATCTTTTTTTTTAAAAAGTATACACAAGTATGTACATATGCATTCTTTTCTTATAATTCAGATATGATAATCTTATCGGATACATATAATGAAACTGTTTGAAATTTGATCGAAATTATCTCGTTTTCTCTAAAAATACTATAGAAATCTAAAGAATTATAACTGAACAATAGATTCCAATCGGAATCTATTTCGAATAATTGTATGATACGTGCTTTAGAATGATTTCTATACCTCAGCAGCAAGAAAGACAAAGATCATTGTCAATTTTTTAGTGATTGAAAATCCATACCTGTATTTTCTCTTTACTTTTTTAGAAAATATTGAGTATAAATCTATAATTTCAAATACTGATAAATTGTAAAACAATTAATAACATACAATACGTAAGTTAATCATTTCATTTAGAAAAATAACCCAGATAATTGTTATTATAAAAGAAAAATTAGGTTTAATGGATTCTCTTATGGATTAATAACCTTAGATTTAGAAATCATTTTTTTCTATCACTGAGGATATTATACTGTGGGAATATAAGCGTGCCTATTTCACGGTTGATCGCTATTCGGTCGCAAAGAGCCGTAGGCCGGCCTCGGATGCAACGTTCCATTGTGTCGCCATTGGCACTGACGTCGATTTTCCCGTGAATATAACGATATATGCGGGCGGCGCTATTAGCCGCGTTTCCCCGTTTCGCCGATATTATTTATAATCGTCGCCGACTGACGACGTGCGGGAGCCGGGGAAACGTTTATTCGTGGCCCGTCGCGAGCGTGAGTCACGAAATTCGACAACGAGCACGTTCACGGTTCACCGTTCGGTCAACCAGATTGCGACGGGAAGAGAACCGTAGCGTGTCTCCAGGGGTTGCAACGTCCCTGCAAACAGTGCAAACGTCCCTGGAGCGAACTTATCGATGATAGACGAGGGATTATCACAGGTTATTAAAGCTCGAGAATGAAATCGAGAAACACGAGATGGAAATCCTCATCTTGCCGGGTGATATCTCGAACGGGAGGTCAGACCGCTGTTCTAACTTGCAATGCGCACGACTGACGACATTTATTTCGTAACAGGAAAGAGCATCGAAACGCTGCTGTCGTAGGACTTTCGTTAAAGTAACTTGAAAAAATTTTAATATCTTTTATTCGCAAATAAATATGTATACGTCACGAAATTAATAGGAAATATTGAACGATTTAAATTACTGAGCGACTCATCTTGAATTTGTATTTTGTATCGTCACGTTGATAAAATCATTTTCTGGTAATATTTTAATTTTCTCAAAAGAACATACGTATTTCGCAAGGAATGTTTAGTCACAAAACTAATTATCGCGACAGTGCAACATTATATCGACGATTTCTTTAAATTATCCAGGTGTTAAAAATTATGTGCGCGTGCATTATGCCAGTGGTAGTTTCATTAGTTATCCAAACATTGTATAAATACAAATAATCAGTATAAAAGCAAAATTTTAAATATTTGGACAATATTGGAAGAAATCGTCGATATGACACGCTGTCCGGATTTTTCTGAAAAAAAAATGAAATGATTAACTACGTATTGTATGTTATTGATTGTTTTACAATTAGTTTTATGACGTTATTTGTGAGAAGTGTACATTTTTGGGAACAATAAAATGCTATCGCAAATAATTTTTATCAACATAATGATGCAGGTAAAATTCAAGACGAGAGTCACATGATAATTTAAAAACGTTCAATATTTCCTATTTCGCGTGAGTCAATCGTATGTGTAATCAAGCGATGAGTCAAACACCTGGCTAACGAGTTAAAAATTTACCTATTTAAGAAAAGCATTCGTCTAATTCTATCCTATTGCATCAGTTCTATCTATACAGCATTTTACTTATGTGAAAATTTTCTGTCTCTCTCAAAAAATAAATAAAAAATTAAAGCTAATTATAACTTCAGTCACTTTCCAATTGCGTTATAGTATCAGTTTCTTCATATCACTTCACCTATTGCATAGTTTTGCATAGTTTTAATATTTAATATTTAAATTCCGAGATATAATTACTTAACGATTATTTAGTGATATGATTATTTAGTGTACAAGCATAGATATGGCAGTACAACAATGCTCTTTTTTTCTAAGATATTCATCGTTTTCCAGTGTATCATCGAATTATGCTACGCCTTTTCCAAAGTAACGAATAAAGATTCGCCCCGTGACATACAATCGACACCTCTTTCATAATTGGAATTTTAATCTTCGTCATTATTTATATTTTCAGATTTTTCTTATTACGACATAATCTTATATCGTACATTTAATGACGAAAAATCAAAATAGCCAATTGAATAATATTTGATAATAATTATCATTTCATTTCGGATGCTTTCTAGCAAGAGAGAAAGATGACAATACAGTGTACATACTAAATTATTACGTCTTTCTTGTTTACTAATACTACTCATTTCTCAGAAATTTTATCAAGGTGAAAAAAAAAAGAGGCTCACCATCCGCGGGCATATCTGTCACGATACGTCGACACAGCAAACCCAAACATGGACCTCTCCTCCATGCGATACACCGCATAATGTTTCGTCTCGATGTTGAAACCGTCGGCGACGTGCCAGGTTGATGAAGCGACGATCGCGAGCCCGACGAAGAGGCTCGCCCAGAGAAGCCTCGTCGACCACATCCTGTCCGCTAATCTGGCGTGTCACTGGCCGCACTACGAGCACTCTGTCACTGTGTCGAGTCACTTTCATATATGAGAACCGATCGCGCGAAAGATGAAAATAAAATACGAAAGAAATTAATAATAATAATAATAAGCAAAGAGCGGCACAACACGACGACACGACGAATGGTATCAAACTAGAAGAGCTTAGTCTCGAGTTAACGTTGACTGCGCAAGGTTACGTGAATTAACCGGTAGCAGCTGCACCACCAGCCGACGACATGTGTCTTCCACGAGGCGCGAGGCCCTCGAGAGACCAACGACGAGGGAGGGTAAGGAAGAAGGGAGGGAGAAAGAGAGCCGGAGAAGTCTGCTTGACGGACGCCCGCGGACAGACTGAACTGAGTGGAGCACGACTCTTTCGGGTAGTCTTCGACTCTTCGCCTACTCGAGGGCCGCCGCCGAAGAGACTCCCACCTACGGCGCGGTGCTGCCCGCTGATCTTAGCCAACGTGCGTCGCGACGTCGCGTCGCCGTCGCGTCGTTGTTCGCGATAAGCATCGACGAGCTATTATACCACCCACTACAGCAAACGAGAATGGATTGAAATGAATTGAAATGGATTCAGATTTTCAGAAATATTGATTCACAAAATTGCATGTTAAAATGCTTTTCAATTCTGAATGCATTTTTATTCGTTTATAGCAATTGCATGGAGCATATCTCTATGGCTTTCAATCTAAAAATAATATTAACTTTTTTTGTGCACACAAACACAATTGTGAATACTGTTCAATTCAAAATTTTGAATAGGAAATGCAGTTTTTCAATCCAATTGCATCCAATTGAATCTAATTCAATCCAATTGAATACAATTAAATCCAAAAAAAAGTATTCGCTATTTAAAATACGCATTCGGATAGAAACAAATTTCAATACATTTTAATCCATTCTCGTTTGCTGGGTAATCATCCACGAACCGATTTTTTATATTATGACGGTCGTATCACGATTATAGCGATTGAAAAAAGAAATTGTGTCCTTGCTTAAGACAATCTATATATTCGCGATTCAGAATAGAATTCTATTGCCGTGTATTTCGAATATTTCGATACATATTCGCGATGCACTTTGTATAAATGAACGTAAATGTATTAAACGTTAACATAGTAGAGTTAATTAAAATATCACTCATATCCGTAAATGAAAAGTACATTAAATTTTAATACACTTAACTTTTAATGATGTTTCCCCGAACACAGTCGTGTAGATTATTCAGGATCAGTTCAAAATTGAATGTTCTTTGAATGTATGCTACATTTTGATTGGTTCTATCATTTTAAGAACTTATGTATGTGAACCAATGAACAGGAGTTTTTCAGGCTCGGTATTCTAGGGATACTATAATTTCTAGGGTCTCTAACTATACAACGAACACAACGCGCCAAACGTATAATTTTGGAACTAAAATCACACATGATTTAACCTAACTTAAACTAACTCTAATTAAAGTTAGGACTTTATAACAAGATTCGAAATCCATGTCCTTGTCTTCTTGCTTCTTTAAGAAACCTTGATAAATTTCTATATCCAAGGAATTTACGTGGATTATTCAAAAATACTATCATTATGCGACGGTTCAATAAAAATACACATGCTGCAATCTTTACATAAACATATATAAACATGAGTTTCTAGGAGAAATTTGTGTTTTCATGTAGTTAATTGATTGTGAATAAACTAAGTGAACAATGGAATGTGAAGGAATGGACGTTGAATCACGTCCGTCAGTAATATCATGTGAAACTTTAAATAAAAATGATGAAACGGAAGAAAACAATGTAGAAAGCAAAGCTGATGAGACTAATCCGGTGCAATCAAATTTATTCGTAATGACCGAAGACTCCTGCAATTTAAATAAGGAAACTTGTTTGGGATCTAGTAAAATACCAGACGAAACTGACTTCCTCACCTCCTCACAGTCACATGTAAGTTTGAGACAAATACAGGCAAGTATACTTTACTTATAATTTGATTTGAAAATTTATTTATATGTAATAAATTGTTTGCTATATTACTTAAGCGAATTGCAAAATAATGATTCTTCAAATTATAGGTAACGTGGGATACTTTATCAAAACAAATAGTAAATCTTGCAATAATGAAACAAACAAGAAACAATGAAGCAAATGTCACAGAGTCAAGAAATGTAAATTCAGAAGATGCTAGTTCAACAGATTCTCCTTGCGTCTATAATTATAACTGGTCAAGAGCACCAAAGATATTATGCGTAGCGACTAAGGAATATCAGTCCACAGATATGCATGAGAATTTTACGAAAGGTTGTCAATGGTCCCCAGATGGAACGTGCTTACTTGTACCATCGGAAGACTTTAAGATACGCCTTTATGAGCTTCCTAGAGAATTGTACTCTGGCCAAATGCCATCTGATTTTATACAGACCGACTTTACATCTGCTTTGACCATTAAAGAAGGTGGCCTCATATATAACACTTGCTGGTATCCCTATATGAGTTCATGGGAACCTGCAACATGCTGTTTTCTTAGTACCAGTAGAGAGAGTCCTGTTCATTTATGGGATGCATTTACAGGAGAATTACGTGCAACATACCGAGCTTATAATCAGTTAGTAGCAACATTGCTCGAGTTTTCAATATAACTTTGTAAGAATACATAAAAAAAGGGGGAAAAATTATACTTTTTTTTTTAGAGTTGACGAAGTAGAAGCATCTATTAGTGTTCAATTTGTGGATTCAGGAAGAGAAATATGGTGTGGTTTCAAGAATGCTGTAAGAACTTTCGATACAAATCATCCCGGACGTCAAACAAGTGATATTTACTTTAAACATGATTTTCCAAATATGACCGGATTGGTTTCGTGTATTCGTGAAAATCCAATTATGCCAGGCTTAGTTGCCTTCGGTACATATTCTAAATGTATTGGTATGTATCTGTGATATTGTAAGATTTAATTAAATATATAGAATTTCTGATATTATTGGGTCAATTAAAACTTATAACTAGTATTCTAATTTTGCGTAAGACGTACGATTGTTAAATATCTACGATATCTATTTCTTGTAAATCTTGTGGCTAGTAAGAAACTGTAAAGGTATTGTATAAAGATATATGGACAAATTTAAAAGGTATATAGACAACTTAAAAGTTCTTGTAAGTTTTATGAGAATATATGTTACAAGTCTTACGATTCTGCTTAGAATTTAAACATGTCTGCTATAAAAGACGTAATTTTTCTTTTTTATATACTTGTAGGTTTGTATAAGGATGGGCCATTATGCACCTTTAAAACTGAAAGTGGTGTAACACAAATTGAATTTAGTTCTTGTGGAATGAAGTTGTTCTCCGTTGTTCGGAAAAATAATGAATTTCTATGTTGGGATCTCCGTAATCCTGGAAATGTTCTTTATTCCCTTGAAGGAAGACAATCGGACACTAATCAAAGAATACAGTTTGCTATTACACCTGACAGTAAACATATAATCTCTGGTTAGTTTAAAAAATGTAAAATGATAAATAGCATAATGTAATATATCTCATTAATTGATGTTACATTTCATAGGTGGTGTTGATGGAAATATCATTGCATGGGAATTACCAGAAATTACAAATTATGATGAAGAGAATTTGAATCCAAAATATAAAATAAGACTATCCAAAGATTGTATAAATGGAGTAAGCTTACATACAAATTTACCTATAATAGCAACCAGTTCCGGACAGAGACAATATGATCAGCATATTAAGAGCAAACATAGGGACAATAGTGTGAGATTATGGTGGGCTTCTTGAGATAATTATAGCTTTAAATAATTTTTATTTATACATGGATAATTTCTCGTTGAATAAAACAAAAACAAAACTAAATGTTTTAGATGATTTATAGCTTGTGTGATTGATATGTTTACACAGGCCGATTTACGAAGTTATACATCAATATTATGAAAATGGCCAATCATAGTTGTTCTATTCTTTAAAAGAATCGCTATGATTGGCCAGTTTTATAACATCGATGTCATAACTTCGACGTAAATCGAGCTGTGTAAAAACGTAGTAATTGATTCGTAATCCGACTTTCATTCTACGTATAGTTTTTAGCGTATAATTTACAAAAGAAAATCATAAAAATTTTATTTTCATAATCGTAGAATTCGTTTTTAATTGATTTGGTATAGAAATAAATCACAAATATACAAATTATGAGTTTGTACTTCTTTAATTAGATAAACAGATCACGATTGTATTAATATTAATAAAGTGCAATAATTAGTTTCTGAGAAATAAGAGGGTGTCGCTGCAAGAGATCTATGTCATTATCGGCGACTTTCCTCTATATATATTCTCTAAAGAAGATCTTAGCAAAAATAAATTTGTATAAAATTTTATTTTATTTGGACATTTTAACTCGAACAAAATTAAACAAAACCATACTTCAAATAAAAAAGCTAATTAAAGCTTAGCTATTACCATTAGACAAATAAATTCAGGCATGATCAAATATAATATATAATATCTCTATGTGAAAGTATTATTCATTCAGATTACTGAAAAATACACAGTTTGATCAAACGTAAGGAATAAACTGACATTAACAGCAAATGAAATTTAAAATAAATTAAATATTCCTAATTAAGCATTATGTAAAATACAAAGGAATAATAGTATAATTTAAAAAACTGTTTAAATAAAAAAAAATTGTAGATTAAAAAGCAGTCTAAAAAAATCATTTATAATAAAAGCTTAGTCCTACGCTATGCAATCAACTTAATAAATGAAGAATAGTTTTGCAAATACACTAACCTTAATTATTTTAACACATAAGAATATAATACGAAGCACTTATTTCTATTCATTGTTTGCATTTTATTATTTCACAATCATAGACATCACATTTATTTATATGCCATGTCATAAATGTATCAATCACCTATTCAACAAATCCCTTGACAAATTTGTCTCATATTTTCTTGACATATTGAAAATATGACGACAATTCTTGGATTTAAAATTCGTGAGAAAATAAGGGCAATAAGATCAGAAATATTCGAAGAACAGTTTTGGAATTCCTTTCTTTTTTAAATTACATTAAAACTGAATAGTGAAACTGAGATCATAAGAGAAAAGGGAAGATGAAATGATTACAGATGAATTGTGATCAAGTGCTAAATTACTAAAAAAATATTGTCATGTACCAGAAAGAAATCTGAGAACGACCATCCTCAGCTTTTTCATGTGATGCTTGAAAACTTTTTACACTAGCGAACATCCACCATCACTAGCGAACTATCAATATCATTTTTATAAAATCATATAAACTACGTATCACAATATCGACATGGCTGGTAAAGTTGCCCCCTGAAGTGGATGTCAATTAAACAACAATATACATTTTTTTTACAATGCTGCC